GAGTGCAGTTCCATGTTCACTTCTTTTACTGGGCAAGTGTCGCGCAGCGTACCTCTTCAGCTATCATACGGTTTACCACTCAAAAGGAGCCCATTATATCCTTGCAGCTTGCAAAGTTTTCCAAGCTAAGGTAGCCCCTCAGCTTCTTTATAGCTCTGAAATTTGCTCTTTTGCAAAGCTTAACATTCTTGAAATTATTCAAAATAAGTTTATTCGAGCCATACTGATGGTTCCAAAAAATATCCAAAATGCCACCTTATGTGTAAAGACAGGTATAGTCTTGTTGGATGCTAGAGCATGGGTTCTTTTTACTACTTTTTGGCAAAAGTTAATCCTACTTCTTATAGGTTTGGCTTCATTAGTAGAGATTGTTTTAAATCATCATGGCTTAAAAAAGCCGTAGATAAAATTCAATTGCTGGGCTTCTCTATGGAAAGCTTGTGCCCATTAGGTTTCAACAATGCTAGAACTGCCCTCAAATAACAAATTTGGGATATAGATCTCCAAACAAATTTAAGCAAGGTGTCACACCCCAAAATTTATCATATTCTTCCAAAAGAGTCTGCTCCAGTCTCTTATTTATCATCCATTATGATTCTGAAATTTCGTAAGGCCTTCACTTTAGCCAGGCTGGATGCAAGGACCTCAGCAGTCCTTTCTGGGCATTTTCACATTGCTCCCACGTCTCTCCAGCTACGTCCACGTGGCGGTGCTCAGGAGAAACTCTAAGCCACATGCTGCTGTGCTGCTCCCTCTGTAAGGACTCTCGACAGACCTTCATTTATCCTATCTTGATGAAATTTCTGAGTAGGACATGTGATTTCTACTTAATGTTACTTCTTTCAGACAAGGATTCAAAAATATTTTCCCAAGTTGCCCAGTTTTGTGCTACCATCTGTACAATATGCCGCATCATTAATTAAGTTTGGAACTTCTTATAATACTATTTTTATTCTGTTTTATTTGTTCTTCATTATTTTAGATCCTATTATACTTATTGTTTTTCTGTTTTATATGTATGTATGTATGTATGTATGTATGTATGCATGTATGCATGTATGCATGTATGCATGTAAGTTACAATTAGATATTTACAATTACAATCTAATTACAATTAGATATTTTGTTGTATCTGGCATTGGAGCTGTAATAAATGAATTCAGTTTGATTCAGATCTATGACATCCTTCCCCTTTCTCATATAGAAGAGAATATATGCAGCTCAGGGTTGAACTTTGGAGTCCTTGGTGCTTGGTTGTTTTCCTGCAGATATTTCGTTACCCATCTGGGTAACATCATCAGTGCTAGAAGGGAGTGGGTTTGCTCTCCGTTTATATACAGCAGCTTGCTCTGCCTGTGTTGGTGGGGGTGGTGTTTTTCTCCTTGGTAGTTCCTTGATTAGGGTATTGTTTTCTGCGTGATTGTTTGCCTGGTTATCTGGGTGTTGGCTGCTAGAGAGGATGTGTTCTGGTCTTTTTGTTTCTTTCTTAGCTTTTTTTTTATCGTCTCTTTTTAATGGTGTGTAAATGTGGTTTATTTCTGTGTGTCTATTAGTGCCTCCAGAAAATCAAAGACCTAAAAATAGAAGAAGATGAAAGTATGGTTTCATTTGTTGTCACAGCACTCTTCACGTCCATAGTTCTAGGACTAGCGAAAGAATCCATGGCAGAAGTACTACACAATGCACTCAACCTAGTCAAATACACTAAGATCGAAATACCCAGAATCATGGACCTCATCAACCTCTGCCTCACTACCTACTTTCGGTGTGATGGACAAATATACCAACAAATCAAAAGAACATCCATGGGATCACCACTCTCAGGACTCATAGCAGAGACCGTAATGCAGCATCTAGAAACTATAGCACTTCCATGCATACAACCAAAATATAGATCATGTAGATGACACCTTTGTCACAATAAAAAAGGAACTAGAGAAGACATGAAACTATCAACAACTTCTTCAAAGGAATAAAATTCACAAGGGATGAATAAAACAACTCACTACACTTCCTGGATATCCTCATCAGCAGAGGAAACCATGACAAATTAGAAACACAAGTCTATCGAAAAACAACCCACACTAACCAAGTGCTCCATTACCAAAGTAACAATCCAACCTCCCACAAGAGGAGCTTTGTAAGAATGTTATTCAGACAAGTACAAACGCACTGCAGCAACCAGAACACCAGAAAAAGGAAACAAACCGCCTATACAACATCTTCCAACAAAATGGATACCCACGCAACTTTATCAAAATGTGCCTGACCACTCAACCCAGTACAGCACAACCAACACAAGCTATGGAAAGGATAACACTGCCACACATCAGAAATGTCTCAGAAACTACCAACAGACTATTACAACCACATGGCATCTCCGTAGCACACAAACCAACTAAAGCCCCCCAAAAC